AGTGTTTACAAAATTTAAAAAAATGATTTGAAATTAAAATTGATTTACAAAATTCAATTTGTTTTTATATGTTTACCCCTTGACACATAAGTTGAATTTTTAAACATAGGACAGTATAAAGGTTTTTATATACAAAACAACATTAAGGTTTTCAAACATAATATAACATAAAGGTTTTCAAACATAAAACAACATGAAAGTACATGACCTGTCTTAATTTCTATTTTAATTCCAAAATCAACCAAATATACTTTTTCAACAAAGTCTGTAATTTAATTTCTTATTTTGTATTTACTGCATATATAATAATAGAATCCTAACATTTGCTTTATAATGATTATAATTGATATTCACTTTCATATCCATTGACAATATCTATTTATCAAACAATAAAGCATAAAAATACAAAAAATTCAAAAAAATGAATTTTTTTAATTTATTAAAGTCTAACTTTTTTTAAATTTCATTTACATTATTTTATTAATTTGTTAATAATTCATTTTTAATGTTTTTGTGATTTAGGTATTATCAAATAATTGTGTTCAAAGGTAATCCGATTAATAGAGACCCATCTCCATCAGAATTAAAACCTTATAGTGAGAAGAGCGACATTTACCTTGCAGCTGAATTTAATGCTTCTGAATTTATGTATTATGAAAATTTTATTGTTGGTGATGGGAGTACATACAGACGCTTTAGAAATGCTTATAGTAATTTTTATAAAAATGCTTATGATGTTTTACAAAATGTTGAACTTCAAAATGGAAAAAGTTACTCCATTCTTCAAAGAGCTTATGAAAATGAAGTATTAGTTTTTTTTTTTACATTTTTTGAAGAGAGACAATTTATATTAAAATTAAAAACAAACCGTAATTTATTTAGACAAAATATTACTCAACTCCTTGGTTATTAAATATACAGACTGATAAACTGCAAAGTATGATTTTATTATTGTAAAGTATTTTTACCGTATAGGCTTTGCATTACATAGTATAAATAAAAATATCTGTCTCTCTTTATATATATATATATATATATATATATACATATATACATATATACATATATATATATATATATATATATATATATATATATATATATATATATATATATATATATATATACATACATATATATATATATATATATATATATATATATATATATATATATATATATATATATATATACTATATATATATATATATATATATATATATATATATATATATATATATATATATATATATATATATATATATATATATATATATATATATATATATTTATATATATATATATATATATATATATAAATATTTAATAAACTGAACTTTTTTATATTTTTTCTTTACATATCCTAGCTTTCTGGATCTGTAAATTACAGGTCTTTACGAACCTACAGTTTCAATAAACATCTATTCCTCATCGATTTTTACTTTAATATTTATTAGTAAAATAATCTTGCTTATATATTTATAGCAGAAAAATCATAACATAGCAAAAAAGATTTCTAAAATTTAAAATAAGATTTTAAAGTTTCCTCATTTTAATAGATACATTATATGCGATTATTCCAAATATGCCTGCAAATTCAATATATGCTCAAAACATTTACACTTACATACGTTTTTATGTAACGCTATACTAATGGAACTAAGAAGATAGATCACTAAAACATAGTCATAAAAAAAAAAAAGTTCATTCTTATGATTAAAAACTAAAGAATAATATTAAATGCTAATCTAATAGTTAAGCCAAAAAGATTTTGCGCATTGAGGTCGATTTGATGCAAAATAAACCTTTATGCATCAAGTTTCCTTTTGCATCTATCTTTTGCATATATTTTTTGATTTATTTAATTATGTTGCATAAAAATATAAAAACTGGTACAGATATATCATTTTCACAGATAAAAGATTGTATTTATTACAATAATAATAATAAATAAATAGCTTTTCTCTTAATTAGAATGTATCCCATTAAAAAGATATTCCATATATCTTTAATAGAAAAATTTTTTAAAAAATGTTAATTAAAATCTTATTTATATTTTGTTTTTCTAGTTGTTTTTTTGTCACATACGCAAGTGACATCACACAGAAAAAAAACTACGAAAAAGCCTTGACTATTATTTTTAAAGGTCTAAGAAGCAGAGGACTTAATTTTAACAATCAGAAATTATCAAGAGAGGGGCAAACCTAAAATTGAAGTTTCAAATCTTCCACTTGGAGGAGACAATATATTTCGTGTTTTTTCAATCTTGTCAATTTTTTTAAATATAAATAACATACCTACAAAATCAAAACGTGCCTCTTTCAGAGAAGAATAAGGAGATTTGGTCTTCAAAGCTAATGCAATTTCAAAAGTGCAAAAAGTCAAGAAAGTATACTACCACTGACAGACTTGATCAGATGCAAAGAATTCCAATGGAGTAGAATATCTTCGACAGATTTAAAACTCTGGCTTCTGATGTAAAATATAGAAAAGAGTGAATTGTAATGATAGCAGATGAAGTGAAAGGCCTATGGAATAATTTGAATCTGCCAATTCAACAAGATAGATCTACGGTTGCACAAAAAGTTGAGAATGTAATAAAAACTTACGAAAAGCATGCTCGAAGATCTGAAAACAATGATTTTAGTAAATTGTTTAATGTAATAGACGAGAAAGGAGAATGGTTGTGCAGAGAAGACAGGGAGTTTTATGAACTGCAGGTTTCAACAAAAGGGAAAGTAGGATATTGCACCACAAAAAAAGACACACAGGGGATACATCCAAGAAAAGTGAAGATGCTTAAAAGAAGAGTGTTAGTCATACAAGAGTCTATTGAAGAAAGTAGTGAAGAAGATTCGGAAATTACAGAAACAGAAAAATCTATGAATGAAGAACAAAGTTATAGTAACAATGAAGATTATGCAAAACATTCTTCCAGTTAAAGGAAAAGAACTGATTCTGCAGTACGTTTGGTAACTGCAACAAAACTGAGTACAAGGAAGGCCCACAAAGTATGTGAAACTTTGTCCAAAAGCAGAGTTTTCATACCTATTTTAACTCAGAGTGGCATCTACAAAGCAGTAATAAAAGAAGGAGAAAAGCTAAAAAGAAATTTCAAGGAAAATTTAAAAAATGAACACTGGTGTTTACTTTTTGATGGTAAGAATATACAGAAGGAATATCAGGTAGCTGTTTTGAAAAATGAAACTAGGGAAGTCAGACTTGCTGTCCTTCAATTGACAAATGAAAAAGGTGAGACAATATTCAATGGAGCAAAAACTGTGCTTGACGAATATGAACTATGGCCCTCAATAAAAATGATTGTTTCTGATACAACTGCAGCTAATACTGGAAAAAATTTAGGAGCTATCACACTGTTGCCGAAGCACTTGTTGCAGAAGATTGGATTAGAAAAACCTGTGTTTATTGGTTGTCAACACCATATTCTGGATACGATATTGAAACACGTCATGAATGATCGTTTCAGGGGAACAACAAGTTCATGAAGCATCTGTTATTCCATTATTTCACAAATAAAAGGACACTATGAACAATCGAAGAAATTATTTGATAATACAGGAAAAGAACAGGAGAAAGTAGAACAGGATTGCTGGCGAGAGGACATGTCCTTTCTTGATCACTTAGTATCATGCTACAGGTATTTCAAAAGTACAGGAAGTTTCCCAAAAGTGCATTATCGATCACTTCCATCTATCAGTAATGCAAGATGGAACTCAAGAGCCATTTATGTTTTGCTTAGTTTCATCCTGATGCCAGAGTTTAGACAAACAGCAAAAGTGACATGTGGTTTCATATGTTCATGGTCAAAATTCTGGTTCTCTTCTCAATTCTTCAATCTTGCCAACTTTTATATTTTGTCAGAAGCTTGTAAGGAGTATCATAAGGCTTTACACTCATTGAGGTGGTTTTGGTCAGTGGAGCCTACGCTTATAGCAACCCAGCATTCAAATATCTGTGCGGAGCGTGCCATTATAGTAATGCAAGACCTGCTTCCACTCTGTAGATCGACTAAAAAGTTGAATGTTAAATTTCTTTAAAGTAATGAACATTAAAAAAATACTGGTATATTTATTTATCGGTCATGTTTTGTAAAATGTAAAATGTTATTGTAAAATGATGCAACTTTTATGTGAATATATTTACATGTTATATCTTAGACACATCATTTTCTTATTTGGATGGAGAACTTTTTTTAAGCAATAAAAAAAATACTTATTCGTTATTTGTGCACAAAACCTCCTCTAATTATCATATGGGCATATAGGGTTATAAAATTGTTATATCCCTAATATATATATATATATATATATATATATATATATATATATATATATATATATATATATATATATATATATATATATATATATATATATATATATATATATATATATATATATATATATATATATATAACCATGCATATCAATAACACCTTTACTTTAGTGTTTTTGAGAAATGATTTTTTTCCATCATATGTTATAATAATTTTAGACTTGAGGTTTAATTTTTTAATTTTGAAGTTTTTTAAAAATATTTTCTAGTTAAAAAAAAAAAAACTTCTGTTTTGATATATAATTTTTTTATCTTTAAGTAAAAAGTATAAAAAAAGGTGGTACCAGTACTGGAGTTATTGGTGCGGTCACCGGCACAGCTGTATGTGTGATTATTCTTCTAGCTGTTCTTGGTATTTTACTTAAAAGGTGATGCATTAATTTTAATTGTATTAAACCTATGCTTATGAGTTATATTATAGAAGTCCTGTAATGTGTGACTATATATGTATATATATATATATATGTATATATTCATGGTACAGGTCAAAATGTATGTATATATGTATGTATATGTATGTGTGTGAATGTATATGTATGTGTGTGTGTATATATATATATATATATATATATATATATATATGTATATATATATATGTATATATATATATATATATATATATATATATATATATATATATATATATATATATATATATATATATATCAGGGCTCGAATTAAGCGTATCGCGATCCCGATTGCTTTTTACACTTTTGCAATTAGTTTTTTCTTAAAACATATATTTTCGCGATTGGTTTACTTTTTTAGTTGTTTATTTACTATTTTTCTAATTAAGCTTTTTTTTTTGACAACTCTTAAAAGTAATGTTTTCATAGTAAAGTACGTCACGCAAAGTTTGCCTTGAATATCTATTCACGTTGCATGATCTTGCGCGCATGATCTTGCCCTTTTGGAGATTTTTATTCAACGTAAATCACCTTTAAGTTAAATTACTTTAAATCTCTGCGCAGAAGCAAATTAAAAAGACAAAAGTTAAAAAGAATTTTTTTTTTATTCTATTTTTTTTATTTTTATTTTTTTTTAATTTTTAACAAAACATTTTTATCTTTTTTTAAAAAAAGATAAAAATTAACTTTCATTACTAATCATCAATCATTACTAATAATGATTTAAATTTAAACAATTTTATATAATTATTTTTACTTCTTTAAGTATAATAAAATATATATTAATTCGTTTTTATTAAATAAAATTTCTGTTAGTAAAATTGTACTAATAGAAACCAGCAACTTTTTTAATTTCACGTTTTTCGTTTTTAACGACCTTGAAATTATTGAAGTTATATTTAGTTAACTTTACTGAAAGGATAGAGTATATTACAGTAAATGAACTTATAACGTAAATCAAAACAACCAGTTAATTTAAGATAGTAACTTACAGTTACTCAAGTATTAATTTAACAATTATATTAATTTATTTATTATACTCCCAAAAGTTAGCCATAGACATGTTTTAATTTAGATCTTACATGTTGTTAACACATAATATAAGCTTTTAACTAATAATTATTTTAACAAAAATTGCCGAAAAGAATATGAAAAACGCGAAACAATTTTTTTATATTTTCATTTTATTTATAGTGACATCTAGACTAAACATTTTCTATAAATACGCAAGTTGTTTTCGGAAATTTTATTTAAAAAGAAATCTATTTGAACAAAAGAACTTTAGCCTTAAAATTCATTTATTCAAATAATTTTGTGATTGAAATTTGAAATTTAAAAAAAAAATTGAAAAATTTAAAAAAAGTTTGATGAAACAAGGGAGAATGAAGAAGACAGTTTTTTTTTTCGTATATCGTAAATTTTTTTAATGTTTTGAAGTATATTTTTTTTTTTAAATAGTTTTAAAAGTAGAAACATTCTATTGCAAACATCAAGGCTGTGATTGCAAATTGCAAGTTAAAATAAAAATTATAAAAAATTTAAATAAAATTTAATAAATTATTTTATTTCTGTTCAAAATTTTTATTTCTTAAAAAATAATTTAAGCATATTCTTATACTTAATATAATTCGATTTATTAAACAAAATTTTTTGTTTCACTTTTTTTTGGAAAACAATTAGAACAAAAAAAAAATTGAATGAAAATATCAGCAAAAAACCATTTGAATGAAAAACTTAATTATACTTAAATTTTTAATAGTACGCTTGATCAGGAAACAATAATTTATTAAAGGTGTGGTATCTAATGTTTGTTTGGTCTATAGATTTTAAACTCGTATGGGTCTATAGGCGCAAATATGAAGTTTTGTTTTAGTTTATTAACTAAATCAATTTTATTTATTTGCTTCATTTTATTTTAAACGCGTTTAAAATAAAATGTATAAATCAACACAAAACAGCGTCACGAATCTGTTTTACATTAACCCAGGCTCTTTATATTTTTAAAACAACTTTGAAGTTTGTTTTAAGCTTTTATAGTTTTTAACAATTAAAATTAACACGTGTTTTAACGTCAGCACGAATGTACTAAATAGTTTTTAAATAGAACGTATTAAATTATTTACCTTGTTGCAGTAACTTTGGCAGTTATTTTTGATAGACTAAAATAATTTAAATATAACTAATAGTTGATAAACTAAAAATTCATTTTATCAATATTTATATATAGTTTTATTGCACATAACCTCAAGCAAAATAAACAATAAAATAAAAATAAAAAAACAAGTCATTATTAAAAAACTACGTCTAACAATTTGTACTGGTTTTATCATTTTGTATATTTGATATAAATATGATATGTTTTAATACAATATATAATTATAATACAATTTATGTTTTTAAAAATAGTTTTATAAATTATATTTATATGCCTATATATTAGAAAACTTTAAAATACTTGGTCCTCAGCTGTTTCTCATTGTTTTAACTTTGTTCTTTTTGCTGATGATATTAATTTTTACTTTTTTCGGGGGTCTAATTTAAAATTTGTTTTTTCTACTGTAAACACAGAGCTTATAAATCTCAATGATTGATTTAAAGCCAATAAACTGTCCGTTAACATTGATAAAACAAAATATATTCTGTTCACAAAACTTTCGAAAAACTGACAACATACCCCTGAAACTTTCTGATTTATTTATAAACAACATTTAAGTAAAAAGATTTCATTCAATAAAAATCCTAGGTAAAAAATTTAAAATTTTAAAAAATTCTTCTGAATTAAAGAGTAAAAATATCTACATAAACAATGATTTTTACTTTGAAACAAAATAAGATAAGATCTTGAAGAAAAAATGAAAATTGTGCGACAGCTGGGTAAATTATTTAAAACTATTTAGACCTTGAACGTAACATAATACAGCTGAAGATGTGCAATTTAAAATATTGGCCTCTGAATTTTTGTCCAAATATTAAAAGCCACAAAATAATGTTCAAAAAATAAATAATTCAAAAAAGTTTCCCACACCTGTACTTTTTAAAGACTTTTTATTTTATAGTGAAACTTCAAAATAAGTTTAAGAAAAATAGATTTTTATAAAATTTTATATAGAATTCTTGATAGATGTATAATAGTAATTGAATCTTTGTTTTTAAATATTAAACAAACAGAACTTTGCATTCAAACTTTGAACAAACTTTTCTTTACTTTCAATCTCGTGCAAAATACAATATGATAGCAACAACAACAACAACAACAACAACAACAACAACAACAATAGGAGAGTCCTCATCATCAAGTATACAACAAATCTTTAAAATACTAAATACAAACATATTATCTATGTACTAATATCTACAATTGTGAAAAAACTAACAAAGAAAGTTTACATGAATAAACTCTTTTTAAAGGTTAAGAATAAATTTGAGCTTTAAGTTAAAAAGGAAGATTTCAATAGTAAATGATGTCATCATTTACTATTGAAATAAAACTAGTTTTAAATATTTAAAAGAAAATTACCGTCTCCACCCGACCCCCAATCATTTTACCATTCCCCCAATCTGCGCTAGCTCCAATCTTTACCTAACCCTAGAATAACAACTACCCAATAAAATGAATTTTTTTTAAATTGAATTTCCTAGCTATTTAACGCTTTCCTACAATTAGATATTTTAATATTTTTCTTTCAGTCTTACTTTCTAAATCAAGTAACAAATTATATTTACAATGCAGTACTTTTACTTTCATAGCTTTCCAGGTTTACCTTGTCATTAGATTTAGAGATGGATTACATAAAACGTTTTTTGAAATTTTGCAAAAAACTTTTTATGTAATCCATCTCTAAATCTAATGACATCTATATATGTATAAAAAAATTATATATAACTTGTACATGAATTATGTAAATACAATTTGCAAACCTTATACAATGTTTATTTTAATAAATTAAGTAATATTGTTTATTTTTACATTTGTATTATTGTTTATTAGTTCATCTATTTATTTGATATTATAGCATATTATTTGATAATCAGATATCCAAATTCTTCTGAATAATTTATAATTGAAAATGGTATTTACAATTTTTCTTTTATTTATTGTACAATTATTTTTAAATGTATTAAATTTAGAAGAAAAAAGCAAGACAAAATCAAAAAAGAAGAAAGCACTAAACTTGTACCACTTGATTCTTTTAAAAATCCTTCATTATATATCTATGATGAGAATCTAGATGAAGATAAAAGGCAATCTTTTGATAAGGAACAACCTTCTGGTAGTTTTACTTTTATTTACTTTTTTTATATTTTTTTTAGTTTCAAGTGAAATTTACACTTTAAAAATGTTTCCAATTTTATTCTATATTTATTTATTTTATTTTATATTTAGATATAAAGGTACCTCACAACATCAAAAATGAAAAAGAAAGCACTAAACTTGCACCATTTGAACCAGTTTCTTCTTTTATAAATCCTTCATTATATGTTCTTGATGAGAATCTAGATAAAGATAAAAGACAATCTTTTGATAAGGAACAACCTTCTGGTAGTTTTACTTTTCTTTACATTTTATATTATACTTTTTAGTTTCAAGTGAAGTTTACACTTTAAAATGTTTCCAGTCTTATGTTTTTTTTTTTTTTGGCTTTTTAATATTTTTTTTTTTTTAATTTTGATTTTATTTTAATTATAAATGCAAAGTTACAGCTTAAGGTACAGTCAAAAAAACTTAGGTTCTTTCAGATAAAAAGCTAGCTTAAGCTATTTTCATTAAATTCAATCCACCAATTAGCTTAAAAGATTTCCCCAAACATTAGTTGCAAAAAGATAGTAGTTGTGTTCTTCCAGAAGAATACAAAGTAAACACTTTTTCTTAATCTAATAAAAAATAAAAATCAAGTTTAATTTTTTTCACTAATAGGAATATTTTTTTGAGATGGGTTAGGTTTTTTAGTGATTGTTATTTTTATGATAGATGTTTCAATTAATATTATGTGAGGTTAGTATTATGATGTTGTCATATATATTATTTATATCATTTTATATTATTGTGGTGCCATTTAAAAAAAACTAGAATATTGAAAAATATATTTAATTTGAATAATAATTTAATAATTTAATTTGAATAATAATTAATACTTGATGATTTTCTACAATTAACATTTTGAACTACTTTACAACAGCCTCACATGCTAACTTTGCTCCTAACGTCATTTAAACTTTTTTTTTAAATCTAGGATTTTCACAGTCATGTATCAAATTCATAAATATCAGTTTATAACATGGTTATATCATACTACAGCTTCCCTGCTTCATGTTAACTGTACTTTAACTGTGTACTTTCCTACAAACGATGATGTATGATAAAAAAGATTTTTTGTCATACCTAATGTTATTATTTTATTTAAAATTTTAATTAAATTCTAAATCAAATAATTAAGATAAAGATAATAAAATAAACGTTTTTATTAAATTCTAAATAAATACAAAAAAAAAACAAAAAAAAACAAATGTTTTACTCAAATCCTTAACAAAAAAAAGTAAATAAAAATGAGAAAACAGATGTTTTATTTAAAGTAAAAACAGAAAAATTTTTATTCTAAATAAATAAATAAAAATAAAATCTGCAAAATTAAGCTTCATTTAAATTCCTAATGAATAAGTAAAATGTTGTGATGGTTTTCAAATTTTTTGAAAGTTGACATTTAAAAGAAAAGTCGGCAAACTTGCGTTTGTTTTTCTCTCACTCATCAGTTAAATATATATTTTCTGAAAAATTAATGTTTATTTATCTGCTAACAAAAATTTACATTTTACTCCTTTGTATGTGATTTCATTTCAAACTTATTTTATTCTTAGATAACACTACTAATGTATACCATTTTGATCTAGTGGTTGCAATAATGGTGTGTTATTATTATGCTATTAGGGGGAAAAAACATAACTTTGAAATTTAGGTTACCAGTAAATTTATTCTCAGACCCATGGCAAGTTGCACTATCTACTAAGAGAAGAGCTTTTACGAAAGGGTTTTTTGCTTCCAAATGTCGAGTTTCTGAAAGTATGAATATATCATTATACCAGTCGTTAAAAAGTGTATAAGTTTTCCAAGCATTTTTGGATGATTTGTAATATACTGGCAAATTTATATTTTTGAATTTATGCATACCTGTAGCGTTTACACATGGCATAATTGCTACTCTTTCCTTAATTGCTTTTTTTCCAGCAGCAGTTTTTTCATAAAGTTTTATTGGCTTTTATAGATGAGACCAGTTTCGTCGCAGTTCTTTATTTGTTTTGGCAAAAAGCCATTTTCAGCAATATAATTTTAAAATTTATTTTTAAATGAGTTAGCTAGCTCCACATTGCAAGACATACTCTCTCCACAAACAGACAAAATCTGTAAACCGTGACACTTTTTAAATGTTGTTAACTATCTATCACTTGCAAAAAATGTTTTAGGTCCATTATTTAATCTATTTACTTCTAGTACTTTTTAATTTTATCATTTCATTTGGAACTAAATTGTTTAATTGTCGTCACTCTAAAAACCAAGAAAACACTGTATCGTTGATTTCATTATATTTCATTCGCTTAATTTTATTCTGATTCAAATACGTTTTGGTTGCATTTATTCTTCTAAATTTTCTTTATTTTCTTTTACTCTACTTATTGTAAATTTAGCAACTTTGTATTTGTTACAAATGTCCTTGTTTTCCCATTTTCAATGTCTTTTAAAATGAATAGTTTATCTTTCAACAATATTGAACGTCTTTTTTTCTTCTGATTCAAGTTTTATGGTTGAATTTAAAGTACAAAATTATTGATTGATTTATTATCTAACAGAAACAGAATTCAATTAACTATTCTATTTAACAGAAATTCACAAAACACAAACTTATTCCAAATTTTTTACAATTTGAGGTTGAGTTGATTAATTTATTAATCAAAAAAAGCTAACAAAATTTAAGTATATATATATATATATATATATATATATATATATATATATATATATATATATATATATATATATATATATATATATATATTTGGTTTTTTTTTTTGTTTCTACACATTATAATTGTTTGTTTACACACGCGCATACGTACATGGGTACAAGTTTGTTTCTTCTAATGTAAGGGTACCTTATATTTATATGTGTTTACATATTTATCTATGGTCACACCACGTGCATTTCTCGCCTCCCTCACAAGATCTCTAAGAATGTTGGAGCTGTTTTCAAAAACTGGGATAGGGATTAGGTTTTTTGGCTTTTGTAGTGTAGTCCTATTATATTGCAATATTGACTAGCATGACGTAGAGTGCAGGCAGTGAGATCTGTTGCAAGGACACGCCCCTGATGAGTGGCGTTAGTACAGGTCTCGGGCTCTTCGAAACGTCATTGGTGATCGCAGTGCATTCCTGAGGAGGGGGATCACCATTTATCCACTACTTATTCTAATTGGTTATTATGGCACCAACATTTTTTTACCTCTTACACCCATGTATTTTTGCACTTTGTGAGCTTTTTATTATGAATTTGTTACATTAACAACATTTATATATTTTTATGCTACACAGGTGATTATAAGTTCTCAATTTTTTATCTAAAGTTTAAAACATATACAGTACCACATTTATTAGATATTTGTATGGTACGATTATTTTAGTTATGAATACCATTATAAACCAGCGGATTTTTATTGACTTGTTTACTCATAGATCATTGTTTTATCATTTGCTAAAAGATGACTTAAGTGTGAGTTTTTATTCCTCTTTTCCTGAGTTGCTAACTTTTACTCCTCCTGCTAAATAATCTTTACATTAATTTATGTTTTTTTACCTAAATGGCATCATCTTCAATCTGTTTTTATTTTCACATCTCCCAGGTCTACATAACTGGACGGCTCCGTTGGTCACTTTTTGCGATCATTGAGTCGCATATGCAAAAAAATATATTTATATATTTGGGCAAATCTGCAAAGAAGAGGAAGAAAAAAAAGGGAAAAAGTTATAAAAACGCTAAACTCTAAAACTCTTTTTTTTAACTATTTAAAAATACTTTTAAGCAAAAAATTTATTCAAAAAAATCATTTTATCATACCATAGTGTGGTTTTAAAGTTGTAAGGGTCGTATAAAAATGTTTTGATGCTTATTTACAGTCCTGTTGTGTTGCGTTAAAAATTGTATTGTAATCTATAATTGAGAGCTTTGATATATTATATTCCATATTTTTAACATAATATTTAATATGATATACATGGTTGTTAATAATCGTTTATACTTTTTTCGTTAAAACATTGGTTGCATCATTTTATTTGTTGTGATATCCATAAACTTTGTTTTTATGAGCGAAATAACTTGAATTTGTTAGTAAAAAAATTATAAAAAACAATAAACAAATACAAAAGATAAAATAGCAAATAACACTACAATAATGTTAATACTATGTTAGTGTTAATAATTACTTTTATAACTTATAACTTACACTTATTATTTATTCAAATAACACTTAGTCAAGGTATCCTAAATAAAAAATAATTTAAATAAGTAATCCAAAATTTTAATTGAAGTAGAAATGCACCTAGAAAAATTAGAATGCAAATTTAAGTTATTTGAAAAACATCAGGAACATAAAGATGGGAGAGAGTTCTAAAGAGTTGAAATGAAAGGAAAATAACTAGGCAAGTAAAAAAGAGGAAAAAAACTAGGCAAGTAAAAGATAAAAAGGATGAGACTTTGTTGAATACTCAAGTCATTAATTAATCAGCAAATCAGAGATAACAGCTTCTTGGAGGGGTTCTCTGTTCTTTGGAGTTTTTGAAAATTGGAACCACAGATGTCATTTTCCATCAAGCAAGAAAACACAATTCTGTTAAGCACTTATTAAATAGCTTAGATAGAATTGAAAAGAGTTCTGGAGAACAATTTTGTAATTTGAATGAAATGCGTAAGGGTGTATAGGTGTAATAACTAATTTCATTCCAATTATAATTGGAATGAAAGGAAGAGTATGACCATAAGGTTCTAGAGTAGAATTAAAAGAAAAGTTTTTTATAAATAGATCAGCCTTATCCTTGGGAGAGGTACTAAGATACTTGGGAGAGGTACTAAGATACTTAGAAGAGGTACTAAGATCTGTTCTTGAATAAGAGGTGGAATTTAGACCTATCTTTGTTAATGACATTTTTGAAGGTTTAAAGCATTAAAGTTACAAATAATAACAATTTCGTCAGAGAGGTATAGAGAGAAGGCGTGGTTGGTTCGATCAGAAAAACATCTAAATGAGTGCAGGGAAGAAGAAGAATGATAAAGACACAGAGAAAGGTGCTAGAGTGAAAAGGTGTTAACAGAAGCACATAAAAGAATGGTTAAAGGGTTCGAACCTGATTTCATGACAAATAGGTGAATTAATAAGTATGTATACCACCAAGCCAAGCATGTGACTATTGGACTTTGCAAATCCAAGGAATGTACCCATCAATACCAGAATCTAAAGAAAAAACAGTTGAATTTAAAATAGTCTGACAGAGAGCAATCAAGTCTGGTGAATTTTGAAAGAGATAATATAACTTATGGAAAGTTACTTTGAAGACCATGAATACTTGTGAAAGATATATTGAAATAATTTGGTAGTGGGGTTGGGTTTTCTTATACCTAATACTTTGAGTTACTTGAGCATGATTTGAGTTACTTGAGCATGAATATACCTAATACTTTGAGTTACTTGAGCAAGTTTGAAGAGAACTTGATTCATTTATAGATACTGCACAGCATACCAAGCAATGAGCTATGTAGTTGTATCAGTGCTGCTAATTAATCCAAATTTGTAACTTAGAGCTCTTTATGTGGCCTCAAAAATGTCCACCAATAGCATTAACAAGAACACCATACATGGGGAACATGGGACTGTTAATACTCTGATATTTTACTTCTGTTGATGGAATCAGCCTCTCTGAGAGCTATCACAGAGCTCAGAAAACCTTTCTACCTGCTGGCTTCAGAACCATTGAACTGAGTTTTAGAGCTGTACCCTGATTAGTAGATAAAAGGTAGAGTTGCATAGCCACTATCAAGGAGGCACAAACTATAATCTATAGAGTCAAGAAGATTCAGAATTCATTATCCTAGGCAGGAATCATTGTAACACAGATTTATATTTACACTAGCTTAATAGATAAAGAAGAGGTTCAAGGCTGCTTAACAGAATAAGTCAGCTTACCCCTAAAAAATTTTCCTAAGAGGCTTTCTACAAGACAGTAGACATCTTTAGCCTTTACTTGACCAAGAGCCCCAAGGCAGGGGAATTTCGAGTCTGAGTTAATTTGTATTACTCTTTGTCTTAAAAAAGCAAACACTTTAGCGGCATGACATGGTGATCCTGAACCTGACCTGACTGGAGTAATTAAGTAGAGTTCCTGTAATCAGTATTTAAAAGAAGACTCAGAGTTTAAACTATAATAGTCTCAAAAAGAGAAAAGAATGTCTGGTAAAATTTCAAGAAGTAAAATTCTTTCTCTTAATAATATATTAATATAAATTCTCTTAATATTTTGTTGGTCAAAATGATGCTAGGATAACTATCAGTTTCTTTTTTTTAAAAATGAATTATAAATTGATAAATAACTTGTTTGAATCATTTTATTGGTAACAACTATATGTTTTTATGTTTAATATTTATTAGTAATAAACTTGTCTTTATGTTTTTATGTTTAATATTTATTAGTAATCATGATTTAAGTTGTATGATTTACTTAGCATTATTTTAGAATCTAAGCTGTAATTTATGGTTTTGCTTTATTTCAACTATTAACCTAAATTTGTAAAAAAAAACTCCTTATGTGGCCTCAACAAAGCACACCACAAGCATTATGAGGCATTTTATCCATTAGACTTTTAGTACTTAAGTATTTTACAACTGTTAATGTCTGAAGTCTCTTGGCCTCTCTGATAGCTACTGGAGACTTTAGAAAACATTACTATCAATTTTTTTAACTGAGTTTTAGAGGTATGCACTCATAAAAATGTGAAAAAACATTCATTATAATGTTAAAGAAGGACTTACATAGCTATGAGAATCAGGAATTTTGTTCAGACTTTTAATTTTATTATTTAAAATATTGTTCGAAATTGATTAATTGCAATAAGTTATTAGAAAAAATGTGTTATTAGAAAAATTTTAATTTTTTTTATACTTTTTATTAAAAAAAGTATAAATTTTATTATGTATAAACATTTTGATTACTATTATTATTTTTTACAATTTATTTTCAGGTGATTCAAGAATGTGTCATGGAAACAGTTCAGATGTTAAAGCAAACTATATAAATGCCTCCGTTATTCATGTAAGATCTTGCTTTTTTGCTATATTCAGAATTTCCAATAAAAATAAAAAGTTTCCTACTTGATAATAAGGCAAAATACTTGATATAAAATGACATTTAAATAGTAAATGATTAAAATGACCAATAATAGTAGTAGTAATAATAATAATAATAATAATAATAATAATAATAATAATAATAATAATAATAATAATAATAATAATAATAGTAATAATAATAATAACAATAATAATAATAATAGCAATAATAATAATAATATTAACAATAATAACAATAATAACAACAAAAATAATAACAATGATAGTGATAATAATAGATTAATTAATAAAAGATAAAAATAATAACAAAAGCAATAGCAATAACTAAATAAAATTTTTAACAAGTTTTTAATAAAATTTAAACTTTATTAATGACTTTTGATCATTTATTTTCAGGGGGTTATATAATCTTATTAACATTAAGAGACCTTTAGGTTAGGTTAGGGTTTAGGAGGTTTTATAAACTAGGGTCCAGGGGATTATATAAACTTGTAAACATTAAGAGACCTTTAGGTTAGGGGATTTAGGTAGAGGTACTGAATTGTTTTCTTCAATGAATTTTAAAATGTTTTTCAGCTTTATTTTTAAAAATCTATATACTTAATTTTTTCCTAATTATATTTTTTTCATCTAAGTATGCTTATTTTAGATCAAGGGAACAATTAAAATTAAAGAGGAAAATCTTTTTAATATTTAATGTTGTTTCAAGTTGCATATGATTATTGTTTTAAATTTTTAAGTTTATTTTTTAATTTATTTTTATTTTTTGTGTGATACACAAAAACTTGTAAGTAAATTAAATTTTTAATGACAATGTTGTTCATTAAAATACTTTTTTTTCATGTTTTTTTAGATTGTTAGATTGTCTTCATTTAACTTGACTAATTATCTAATTCATTAAAGGTCATATATACTAATTTTTTAATATAAACTTTTATTTTATTAAATATAATTATAAACTTTAATAATTAATTATGTTTTAATAATAATAATAATTTACTTAATAATAGTTTAATTATTAGTTTCTTATTTATTTATTTTTTAACTTATTTTTTATTGCATTTTCATAGTTGTAGTTGATTCAAAAAAATCAATTTTGTCTGTTTTAGATAAAATTATAAACTTTATAAATATTTTTGATAACGACAATTTATATAAATTTTTGTATAAATAAATATATATATATATATTTTTGATACATATAAACATGATTTTTAGTTTCATTTGCTTTTTAAAACTTTAAATATAACTCTGCTTTTTTTGAATAGGGATATACAAAGCATGTCTACACAGCAACACAAGGTAAATGGCTGTTATAATTTTAAACAATAAAGTTTTGAAATTAAAAATAATTTATTTTATTATATATATATATATATATATATATATATATATATATATATATATATATATATATATATATATATATATATATATATATATATATATATATATATATATATATATATATATATATATATATATGTATATATATATATATATATATATATATATATATATATATATATATATATATATATATTGACTTTTTTATGACCTCTTGTTCTTGTATGTCAGTTTGATGAACAATTACTCAAAATCAAAGAAACAAAGTTATTTCAATATCTTTTAAAAAAAGTTCACATTCAAATCAAAATATTAAATTATGTGTTATTACTCAACAATGTACATTGTTTAATAATTATGAGATGTCTAGTCTTTAACTATTACAGTTACTAGAGCCTAGCATATGCTTTGCATTGTCTATATTAATGATTAATATACATCAGTAGATCCTTAAAAAAAAAATGTAGATTGCAATTTGTTTTTTTGTCTGCAGACTGAATACAGTTCTTGCATCACTTTTATTACACATTCCGCGCACTGGTTGCTTTATGATATCTTCAGTGCTGATGTTTCCTGTTTCTAGTTTTTCTCTAATATAAGAACCGGCAAATATTTGTTAAAATTCAATTAGTAACAACCCTCTATCAACTATATAACTCCGAAAAGTGTTTCAAAATTAAAGAGTCAGGTATAAAACGAAAGCAGACGAAAGTCGTGTGTTCTTAGAGAACACACGAGTTTCTGGCGGACCAGAACCTAAAGTATGGAAAACCTGTGGAGCAAATCATCATGCCAGATGGATGTCACTTTTGTTGTATGCACTGAAGATGTTCATCTTTAAAGAAGATTTACTCGATTCTGATCTAGCAAAGTTAAAAATCTTTTTGACTTTCAGCTTAGTTTTATATGCTAAAGCTTGGCTAGAAGCAACAAAAGGCTCTGATGCACTAATTAGCGATATTCATTTATACAATGATTTAGGTGCTCAAGGGCAGATCTCAGGCTTCTCTAATGCAGCTCAGAAAGCTTAAGAAGTTCTTAACAGGCACTCATGGTATCTACCTGCGGAGGTCTCAGTCTTCAGTCTCTTTACAAATAAGGTTTCTGCTAAAGAAAAGGCTAACATTGCTTTAAAGTTGATAGATGTAAGAAAGCCACTTGCTATCAACTCTGGAAAACCTAATCTTCCATCTATTCACAAGAACTTAGAGATATTGCCATATATTGGGAAATATATGGCAATATCTCATAATAAAACTTTTTTTTTAAAACAATAATTTCTATATGGTAAGGAACAACTTTTTATGCAGCCATGTGTCATTTTTCAAATTTTTAAATTTTGGCCTGCCCTAATATGTATATATATATATATATATATATATATATATATATATATATATATATATATATATATATATATATATATATATATATATAGGTTTATAAATAAATCATTCATTTATAAATTCAAATACTAAGGATCAACAAAATAATTTTTTAATTAATTTTTTTTTTAAATACTTAATCATTATAAATAAATTCATATATTAAAAATAATATCTCTGTTTTGAGCAAATAATAATATTGAAAAAATAATAATTCTATAATAATTTTCAAATATTATAAATTTATTATTAGTTTTACAATACTTGTTTTTATTAGTGAACAACTACATAAGCACATTAATCAGAATTAAAGCAGGAGATTTTTTTTACAAGAAGCAATATGGGTCATTCCATATAAGATGAGGCAATGTTTTGAAAATTTCCTAGGTGATTTTCTTTAAATTTGCACCCCTCATTTCCAGGTTTTATAGAAAAAAAATTTTAGTATGCTTCAAGATAATGAGTTGAAAATTTCAACTCATTATCTTGAAGCATTCTAAAATTATGGCAATTTGAATGACAATTAATGTCTGCCTATTTCAATTATTGGCAATTAATATCTGCCTATTTCAATTATTGGCAATTAATGTCTGCCTATTTCAGGCAATTTATTTTCTTTTTCGAATAATTCTCATTTTCAAATCAATATAAATAAAAAACCAATTATCTTAAATACTTAAAAATCAATCTGATTGCAGTAATCTACCTCAATTTTCAAAAAAATAAAAGTTTATTTTAAAAAAATAATTATTTTTGGCCATCTTTTTGACAAAAGTTATTAAAAAAAAAAACACTTTAAAGTAAAAATTTTAATATTAATAAAGCAAATGGAAGCGAAATACACAAGCAATTATGAAAATTATGTTGACTTGTGAGAATATAGATGGTAGTCATCATTCATGATAAGTTTTGTAACATTGGATTCAAAATTATAGAAGTTAGATCCCCCTAAAAAAACCTCCAGCCTTAAAATGGTAAAATAAGATCTATTTTAGAACTCAAAATTATCTTGGTGTCCAGTAAATTTAACACTTGAAACTTTCAGGAATTTATCTTCAATATAGGAAGATAAAAACAGAAAAAATATTTTTGGTATGTCTTGTAGCTGCTTTTATATCTAAACTTAAACTATTTATCAAATAGGTTTTTTATTCTTTTTTAAACAAGGAATTTAAAAATAAAGATATCCGTACATAAAGGCTTGTATTTTTCCAATACATTAATAAAATTGAAACTCAAAAAAAAAGCCAAGAAATAAATCTTGATTACAATAAAAGAATATAAAAACTAAAATAATAAAAAATAAATCTTGTTCTCAAAATAATAGTCTAAATATTTTTTTTAAACATTTCAAAACTTAATGATATTATATGCATAAATTTTATCTAAATATCTGAATCATCTGCAATTTCTTGTACAATTCCAATGTAGCATTCATTATCATAGATACATGCAAGATATATTCCAGCATGAAAATCACCTATGCTGTCCGAAGTCCAACCTTCATTAATGTCTTTTTCATAGCTGCATTAACTGTTATAAAAAATGTATCACCTAATATACATTTCATTTCTAGCTTCCCATCATTAAATGGTATAAAACAGCGATGTGAATGCATTCCTGGAAATCTTTTAAAATTAGAATAGGGGTCATCAAGCTTATCATTTTCTATATAATCTGTTATATTAGTTTCAGAAATACTAAAATAATAATTTGGTTTTGTGAAGATTTTCTTTCAGAATTCAAATAAATAAAATGATGTGATTGCAAGTTTTTAATTGTAGAAACAACATCTTTATAGTCTTAATAATTGCTTTTGTTGTTTTTGACCATCAATTTTAACTGAAACAAAATCTTTCTTACCAGGACAAATCCAAGAATATTTTTCTCACTGATAAAAATTCTATTATTATAGTTATATTGGTTTTAAGTGCTTGTGATAGCTTATTTCTAGTAATTTTTTTACACTTTCCTACATAGATGATTTTTTTCCGGGAATTCCCAGAATTCCGAAAATTCACTTAAAACTACTTTAATTTTCCAGAAATTTCCGGATGTTTTTTGTTATTAATTTAAAAAAAAAATTATATATTTTTACATAAAATTTTAAAAACAACAACTTTTGCATTTGAGCAAATATGTTTTCTATAGTTAAAATTTTCACGAGATCAATTTTTGTAGCAATATTTTTTCTTTTTTTTTTGCTTTTTAATTTATTCAAATTAACTTTTTCGAATATTAGAAATTCTTTTTTGTAAAAAGTTAAATAATCTAAATTTCGTTTTAAAAGTTTATGAAAGTTTTTGTTTTCAGTTAATACTATCAATTTTTAATAAATAATTTTCTGGAATTTTCTGGGATTTTTTTTAAAAAAAATTTTCGGTATTTTCATAAAGTCAAATACTCATCTATGTTCCTAAAATACCTTTAGTTACCTTTTAGTTTATGTGCTTTTTTAACCATTGACTTTAACAGAAAAGTATTCTGTTCTTTGTTGAATTGTCCAACTATTTGGTTTTAATGTCAATTGTTTTATTTTTTCATTTCTGTTTGATTTAGCAATTTTTTGCTTAATGGCTTCACAAAATAAATTTTGGTCTGTCAATTTTTCAAATATTTATTGTTTATTAAGCAATTAATAGTAAATTCATTATTGGAAATTCCCAAATAATTTGAAATTGTTTGGCAAGAATTTAAAAACTTCCTTTAACTTTTTTTTTCCAACTGGGTCTGTCTCAAATAGACACTGATTTTAATGGAGAACAACCCAACATCCTGAATGTTTTATTTGCAATTTTAGAACCAGTTGAAATTATGATGTTTTGGTTTTATAATTATTTTTAATAGTTTTATCATTCTTACAACATCTTTCTTATGACAAGACTTTTTGACCTGGGCATAACTTCATTCTTAAACCGGTTTCTTCATTGATTGACCAAAGAGATTCAAAAAAAAAAAAAAGATAATCAATCTATACAGTTATTACAATTTTTATCAAAAATATAAAACCTTGTATAAACATAAAACTTGTTAAACACGTCCATCATTTTTTTGTCATTAACATAAAGTATTGACAAAAAAAAATAATAGTAATAAATTTTAACTTTAAAAATATTTGCAGAAAAAAAAAACTTTTGTAAGATTTTCAGCTACTAAATGCATTTAATTACTAAATGCATTAGTTTTATGAACTTTATATCACAACAATACCTTTGTGTAGTTTTATAAAATACAAGGAACATCTTTTCTTGATGAAAACATATAGAACTACAATCGTTTAAAATTATATCACATCTCCATGCAAGTGTTTTTTTTTTCTTCTTTCCTGAAGCTTTGAATTACTCTTTCTCCAGCTATTTGAGTAAATGTATTTACTCAAATAGCTGGAGAGTATTTGAGTATGGCAATCAAGGTTCAGTAAAACTCTGATATTACATTTTTTGTTACTCATTTTAACTCATAGTTTTAAAACACTTGTTATTACTTTATCTAGATATATAAGTATATGTTATTTCATTTATCAAAATTAATAAAACGTATTTGCATCATACATATTCAATAACTTAAAATAAAATAAAGATTGCATCATCATAAAACAAAGTAATACTTGGCCCCTATTTTTTTAACCCTACTTAAAAACAATTGACTTTTAAGGTATTTTTAAATTCTTTGTTTAAAAAAGAATAAAAAACAAATTTTTACATTAAAATGCTAATTGGTTTTAAAGAATTCAAAATGGCCGATTTTGAATTAGAGAATTCTATTATGATAGAAAGTTTAAGTTGAGATATCTCAGCAGCTACAAGACATCGCAAAACTATTTTTTCTGTATTTCCTCTTCTTATATTGAAGATAGATTCCTAAAAGTTTCAAATGTTAAATTTACTGGACACTAAGGTAATTTTGAGTTCTAAAATGGACCTAATTTTACCATTTTAAGGCTGGAGGCTTTTTTATAGGGGTTTAACTTCTATAATTTTAAATCCAATTTTACAAAACTTATCATGAATGATGACTACCACCTATATTCTCACAAAATAAAAAAAATTTTCACAGTTGCTTGTGTATTTCGCTTTCATTTGCTTTATTAATATTAAAATTTTTTCTTTAAAGTGTTTTTTTTTATAACTTTTGTCGAAAAGATAGCCAAAAATAACTATTTTTGTAAAATAAAACTGCAATCAGATTGATTTTTAAGTATTTAAGATAATTATTTTATTTATATTGATTTGAAAATGAGACTTATTTGAAAAAGACAAAAAATTGCTTGAAATAGGCTAAGACATTAATTTTTCAAATTGCCATAATTTTAGAATGCTTCAAAATAATAAGTTGAAATTTCACAGAATTTTTTTTTATAAAACCAAAAAGGGTGTAAATTTCAAGGAATTCTGAGATGGTCACCCGGAAAGGTTTGGCTCATCTTATATGGAATGACCCATATGGCATAAAAATTATGAAATTTTTTGATATTATCTTAATAAACAGTTCATTTTGGCAAGTTTAAATAAGTCTAAACTTTTTTAAGGTTTTGTTTATGATAGAAACACAACATGTCCTGTTACTCAGTGATCCCTTATATATACATTTCATAATTCCATCTTTAAATGTTGTATACCAGGTCATGTGGGCAATATGCACATATATATGTGCATATTGCTGTAATCCTGTTTTTTCTCTATTATCTATGACTTTATAATTAAATATTAATACAATTGTTTATTTTATAAGTTTTAGCTTATAAATGAAAAATGTTTAGATGTAAAAGATGCTTGGATTTATGAAAACATTTACGATAGTAAAGATATTGTTAAAAAAGAAGGATTCAAAAATCCATTTGAAACCCAAGAGAGAGAAACAGAACTTGATCCTAACCGACTTCGGCTAGAGCATGAATTAGGTATCTACATTTAATTTGTGTTTTTACTTTTTATAATTTTATTAAATATTTGCACAGGTAATATATAGTAAAATAGCAATAATGTACATACTAAAAATAAAGTGTCACCATATTTGAAAAGTATTTAACAAAAATTATGTTGTTATAAATTACTCCATGAGAGCACACAAACAAAAACATTAGGCAATCCTATATATCCTATATAATCCAACTTCAGCTAGAACATGAATTAGGTATCTACATTTAATTTGTGTTTTTACTTTTTATAATTTTATTGAATATTTGCCCAGGCAATATATAGCAAAATAACAACATAGGCAAATACTAAAAAAAATATGACCCTTTTTAAAATTGTTATAAACTATTTGTTCTGTCAAGTTTATGGTTAATAAAAAAGCAGAAATCTGTTTGTAATTATATTTAGCTATGTCTTGTTTATTATATTCACTTTAGTGATACATGTTTTAATATATTACACTATATTAGTTATTTAATTTCTTTTTTTGCTATATTGTTTTTTGCGTATCTCATGTTCCATGATCTGTTATATATCTGTTATATACATATATCTGTGTATGTATATATTTGTTCTATCAAATTCACATTTTGCATACTATCATTATCAGCATCATTGTATTATGTTATTTTAATTTGTGATCTATACTGCATATGTGTATTTTTTAATTTTTTGGTAATATATTTCAAAATAGTAAAATTTCTATGACTACTTGTTTTTATTATGTTTTCTTCATCTGTTGTTGTTAAGGCTGTCAGTCGATGTAGTCCTTTGCTAGCCAGCAGTCCTTTGCTAGCCAGGCTATTTGTCAGTTGATTTAGCAGCACCCTGTTGCAAATCAGCCACAAGATAGTTGATGTAGCAACACTCCGTGCATGTTTTACAGTTAGAAAATGAAAATATTATTTAGAAAATAAAAATAATATTTAAAAAAAAATAATAAAACATTCTAGTCTTTTAATTTGCATTTTTGTGGTTTAATTTAATTTAATATATACATATATATATACATATATATATATATATATATATATATATATATATATATATATATATATATGTATATTAATAGTATAAGTTCTTATAATTATAATACTATAGGTCAAGGAAATTTTGGGTCTGTTGTAAAAGGAGTTTACATGTTAAAGAACAACAAATATGTAGCTGTTGCTGTAAAAACTCTTAAAGAAGATATTCCTGGCCAAAAGGTATGTATTAGGATTAAATTAATGAGTTTTAATTTTTTTTTATTTCATATGTCACTTTAAATATGTCACTAGTAAAGTTATTTACCTTAAATAAAAGATTTGGTAAATTTTAGACTTTTTAATTAAAATATTTCAAATAGTAATACAAATTCTGATTGAAAAAATAGTTTTTTCAATTTCAATGAAACTTTTTTGTTAAAAAGTTACATTAAAAAAAAATCATTTCCAATTAATCAAAAATACTTTTTGCTAAAGAGTTAGGTTGTTGAATTTTCTTTTTTGTTGTTTTAATTTTTTTCAAAGCTTAATCTTTATTTGTTGCACCTGTGAAGTAGTGACATCTTTCTCTTCATTTGTCATTAGGTCCAGTTTCTTGTGAGTTAAAGCATTATTAAACATGTTCTCATATCATACAGTAGCCTCATTTTTCTATTTGACTTCTGTTATTTGTAGAATAAAATATTTTTTTCAATGGCATCAATGGCATAACAGTATTTTTCGTCTCACTGTTTGATAAGTTTTTTGATAACTGTTTTGATAAGTTTTTTTTATCTAAAATAAAAAAATAAAAAATTAGTTTAGAGACTGACTTTTTTTAGAAATAATAATTTTATTAATTTTGTTGTTGCTTTTGCTTGTCACTTTTATAATAAAACACAAAAAACTTAAAATATTTATTAAAGTATTTGAAAGATTTTTTTATTAAAAACCTTGATTTATTGAACCAAGGAAATGTCTTTTTTGTGTATCAAGAAAATAGCTTCTTGCTATTGTAACAATTGTATATATATATATATATATATATATATATATATATATATATATATATATATATATATATATATATATATATATATATATATATATATGTATATATATATATATATATATATATGTATATATATATATATATATATATATATGTATATATATATATATATATGTATATATATGTATATATATATATATATATATATACATATATATATATATATATATATATATATATATATATATAAATATATATATATATATACATATATATATATATATATATATATATATATATATATTCTTTGGAATAAGGGTCAGCATCGTTTAGGCGCATTAATTTTTTCTCTTTATCTTAATTTTTTTCTATGAATTGTCAACTGATATGCATGCAAGTTATTATCAAAATAATTGTTGTGTTGTGGACTAATAAAAACCACAAAAATTTTTTCTATGTGTCTTTATTAACATGAGATATGTTTGATATACAAAAGCACATTTTTTAATTGGAATATATCTATAGATGTAATCAGGTTAATAACGGTAATTATTGATTTTTAATCACTTTTACACAAATAAATTGATAAATTTTAGTGTAATTTGATCTTTTGCTCTGCCAGTATCATTTTTATTGCATTTTACAAAATGCCTAAAGGAATGTATTTGACAGATGCTGAAAAAATACAAATTAATTTATATCATGGCTCATAAATCTCACCAGCACTTTCTATATAAGAAATTGCAAGAAAAATTGGAAGATCTGACCATGTTGTACGAAACTACATTGCAAAAGGTGACAATTACGGTGTTAAAAAAGCAACAAACGGCAACAAAGTATTAACAAATCGGCAAATTAATCGAATTCGCTTCGAAGCAATCAAAAATAAATTGAATGTAGCACAAATAAAGGATAAATTATTATTGCCTGTCACCAATAAACATGTTGCACATATTCTACGTACAACACCAAACGTAAAGTGGAAGAAACCACACCAAAAACCAATGTTAAAAAAATAGCATAAAGTTGCTAGATTACAGTTTGCTAAAAACCATATGAATTGGACTCATGAATGGCAAAACATAATATTTTCAGATGAAACAAAGTTCAATTTACATGGTCTGGACTTATACAGTTGTTATTGGCATGATCTAAGAGGAATAAATGACCCACAAACATAACGAAATTATGGTGGAGAAAGTTTAATGGTTTGGGGTTGGATTTTCTTATTCAGGAAAATTGACTCTGTGTTGTGGTTTACCTAAAATGAACTCGATAAAGTATACAGAAATGTTGGATGATGTTCTCATAACTTATATGGATAAAAACATGGGCAATAATATATGGATGAAAATATGGACGATAATGCCATATTTCAGCAAGATAATGCTGCAATTCACACATCTAGTTATTCTATGAAATGGTTTAAAGACCACAACATCCGGGTTCTGGATGGCCAGCTTGTAGTCCGGACTTAAATCCAATCGAGAACGTGTGGAGAATGCTAGCAAGAAAAGTTTATGACGCTAAAGCAGCCGGACACCAATTTAAAATTTTTACTGAGTTAAAGTGTAAAATCCTTGAAGCATGGTCCTAGTTGGATCACACTACACTTCAACGACTAGTGGAGTCAATGAGAGGCAGTATTTTTGAAGCGATTTAGTGTAATGGAGGACATACGCATTACTAATTTCCATCTTTTAATGTCAAAAATATGACTGTGTCTATAGATATATTCCAATTAAAAAATATACTTTTGTATATCTAACATACTCTCATGTTAATAAAGACACATAGAAAAATTTTTTTTGTGATTTTTATTAGCCCACAACACAACAATTATTTTGATAATAACTTGCATGCATATCAGTTGAATATTCATAGAAAAAAATTAAGATAAAGAGAAATTGATGTGTCTAAACGGATATGCCTCAGTGTATATATACATATATATATATATATATATATATATATATATATATATATATATATATATATATATATATATATATATATATATATATATATATATATATATATATATATATTCATATATATATATATATATATATATATATATATATATATATATATATATATATATATATATATATATATATATATATATATATATGTATATATATATATATATATATATATATATGAAATATATATATATATATATACATATATACATATATATATATATATATATATATATATATATATATATATATATATATATACATATATATACATATATATATATATATATATATATATATATATATATATATATATATATATATATATATATATATATATGAATATATATATATATATATATATATATATATATATATATATATACTCATATAGTGTCGCTTTAAGAGCATTTTAATGTAAAAAAAGTCTCTTACGACTACAATTTTAATTACCTCGTCTCTTAAGCTGTTTTTGATTGTCATCGAAATGTCAAAGCAATTAATTTATGCGGAAGTACATTAAATTTAATTGTTTTTTAAAAAATTTTTAAAAAACCGCAATTATAACGACTAGAAAGTTTTTTTTAATTAGTGGTGTTTTTGTTATTGATTTAATAAAAAACATTTTTTAAACATGCGTAAATGTTGCTACATCGACTATCTTATAGCCTGACTCGCAACGGAGTGCTGCTACATCGACTGACAAATAGCCTGACTCGCAACGGAGTGCTGCTACATCGACTGACAAATAGCCTGACTCGCAAGGGAATGCTGCTACATCGACTGACAAATAGCCTGACTTGCAAAAGAGTGCTGCTACAACGACTGACAAATAGCCTGACTCGCAAGAGAGTGCTGCTTCATCGACTGAGGGTTTGGTTTGGCCAGGCAGTCTATCAATTAAAAAAAAAAATTTAATTTTTAAAACTTTTTCTGGTCTGGTTTATTAACGCGCTCTTTAAAACTACAGTTTATGGGAAATATTTTTTGATGCTACGCAAGAGACATGCAAGACTATATATATATATATATATATATATATATATATATATATATATATATATATGGCATTTCCAAAAAATCACGCACAGAAATTCGTATATGTTTTGTCTATTATTTTCATAATAATAAAACTCTAATTTACTCTCATTTGATTCTAAGCTATATAAATATTTTGTTAAAAAAAAAATGTTGTACATTAGCAATGTTAACAAATTAAGTTGAAAATAATAAAAGAAATTTTGATGTAACAATAAAAAATAAAAAAAAATAAATCTTGATGTAACAATAAAAAATAAAAAGTGAATTTTTATGTAACAACAAAAAATATAAATAAAAATCTTGATGTAACAAAAAATAAAAAAATAAATCTTGATGTAACAATAAAAAATAATAAAAGAAATTTTATTTTATTTTAAAGAACTTTAGAACAAAAATGAGTGTTATATTCCTTTTTTTATTTTTTTATTTTTTTATAAAAATTAAAAAAATTTTTATCATTTTTTTTATGAAAATTAAAAAATGGTATACATTAGCAATGTTAAAAAATTATGTTGAAAACAAAATCACGCACAGAACTGAAAATTTCAAATTTAGTTAGTAGTAGAGGAAGGAGAATTCTGGGACATTTTTGTTTTCATCCAAATTTTCAACCCTATATTTAAATAAATATATTGTTCATTTTTCAAGCATATTGTGTATCAATATTACAACTAAGAAATTTTTTCAAATTTATATAAATTTGAAAAAATCAATTTTAAAAAAATCTGGAGTCAATTTCATTTCTTTGCTATCATGAAATTTTTCTTTTACTATTTAAACACCAAAAAAGTTTTTTTTTTAATGATATCTATTTTTTTATCATAATGATTAATATTAGATTTAGTAAATTCTACTTCGTTTTTTAAAAGGCAATGTTCATATTTTTTTTAAATCTTCACGTTCCTCTTTTATTTTTTCATAATAATATTTATATTTTTTTATGTAATCTTTTTAATTTCGTTATCTATATCGTCTATTATTTTGTTTAGAATTTCTTTTGGTATTTATATATATATATATATATATATATATATATATATATATATATATATATATATATATATATATATATATATATATATATATATATATATATATATATATATATATATATATATATATATATATATATATATATATATATGATATATATATATATATATATATATATATATATATATATATATATATATATATATATATAT